CACGAATGCAGAAATCCATCGTAACAAAGTGGTTACATGTAAGGACTTGTGTATAGCTTCGTTACAAGTTTCATGGAAAACTCGACTAGCATCCGTCACTAATCTTAACAGCAATTGAAAAATCTAGATAACGCAAGACCGGTCTATCCGTCAACAAGGGCTTGTATCGTTCAAACGTATCTTCAGTCCAGCCCCACATGACAACTTTTCTTAATAATGTCATTACAGGCGCCATTAGATATTCAAACCCCGCTACAAACAGTCTTTAGTATTCTGCTAAATGTCCGAAAGTTTGACCTCCGTAGCATCTCATGGTTTCAAAAAATACCCCACTGCATTTCACGTGTTTCCCTTTTATCCTCTACCGCCATTCGAATATGCCAATATCCAGTCTTTACGCCGCGCGCCGTTTATAATAGTGCACTACTTGCAGCGTCTATAGATTCGTCGATCCTCGGCAATGGAGAGACGGTTTGTGCGTTGCGTTATCAAGAGAACGATAATCCACGCAAAATCTTACTTCACCGTCTTTCTGGTTCACCAGTATTACAGAAAATCCCCATTCCCATTGCCCTCTTCGATCACGCAGGTGTTCATCATCTTATCCGACTTCCTATCGACCACTTTGTCCTCTGTCTGTGTCTGCTCTCTACGCTTTTGCAAAATAGGTGCTTTATTATCCGCGTCAATGTAGTGCTCAATTTTGAATGCCATTACTGGCGGAACGTCACCTGTGTTCGTCACCAAGCAACGATATGCCCTATATAACATCAAATCACGACTCGTCTCGTCCTTATTTCCGATCTCCACTTCGTTATATTATGCGGTGTCGCGAAATCAGAAAATCAGCGATATTGCAGGGTATCAGTACCAAAAAACCGACTAACGGAGGGGGTACCCCGATAATTCACGATCGGCTGAGCTTGTTCACCTGGAGTACCTGTCGGTATCAATATCACGGTACTCACCTGGCGGATGTCAGTCGTCTAGCCGTAGGTGCCAGTGAACGGTCAGATGAGGTCCGATATTGTCTATTTCATTTCACCTTTGCAAAGGAAACATAGGAATCAGAATAGGAGGAGCCCGCAAAGGCTCCTAGCAGATGTAATGGGCTCACTGTGTG